AGTGAGTGAGTAAGTAAGTGAGTAAGTGAGTGTGTAGTGAGTGAGTGAGTAGTGACTGAGTGAGTAGTGAGCGAGTGAGTGAGTGAGTGAGCGAGCGAGTGAGTGAGTTGTCTGTCTGTCTGTCGAACTTATTTCGCGCCCTACGTAGCCAACCCCCGTGCCTTGTCGACCTCGCCCGCTCGCTCGCTCGCCACATCGAAGGCGTGCAGACGCCGCTGTCTCTGCGTCAGTGTGGGCCTCCCCTAGGTCGACTCAGCCCCAAGTGGGCATACCCCCGCCTCAGCGGTGCGCCGTCGCGAACATCGCTTAGCGCTGGGGGAGAGACAAAGGCGGCCGGGCGTGGTGGTGCCGGTCCACCCGCGCCACTCTCTGTGTGTGTGTGTAGCCACAGTGCCGGTAGCCCACGTGGGCTAGCGGCACTTGCCCCGACGGTTGGCCGAGGCTACACGGGGGATCTTTGTCTTTGTAGGCGCGGAGCCTCGGCACGCACGATCCGGAACCGATTCGTAATCCGAAGGTTCTGTACGACAAGCTGTTCATCAACAACGAGTGGGTGAGCAGACTCACACACACTCACACACACACACTCACACACTCACACACACACACTCACACAGACACACACACACTCACACACACACACTCAGACTCACACACACACACAGACTCACAGTCACACACAGACACACACACAGACTCACACTCACACACACACTCACACACACACACTCACACACACAGATACACACACACACAGACTTACACACACAGACTCACACACACAGACACACACACACACACAGACTTACACACACACACACAGACACACACACACAGACTCACACACACACAGATTCACACACACAGACACACACACACAGACTCACACACACACAGATTCACACACACACACAGACTCACACACACAGACAAACAGACAGACACACACAGACACACAGACAGACACACACAGACACACACACACACAGACTCACACACACACACAGACTCACACACACACAGACACACACACACAGACTCACACACAGACACACACACAGACTCACACACACACTCTCACCCACACACTCAGCCACTCAACTACTCACTCACTCAACCACTCACTCACTCAACCACTCAACCACTCACTCTCTCAACCACTCACTCACTCAACCACTCACTCACTCACTCACCCACTCAACCACTCACTCACCCACTCACTCAACCACTCAACCACGCACTCAACCACTCATTCACCTCACCCACTCACTCAACCACTCACTCACTCACTCACCACTCACTCAACCACTCACTCACCCACTCACTCAACCACTCAACCACGCACTCAACCACTCATTCACTCAACCACTCACTCAACCACTCACTCACCCACTCACTCAACCACTCAACCACTCACTCACTCACCCCACTCACTCACTCAACCACTCAACCACCCACTCACTCACTCAACCACTCACTCACATCAACCACTCAATCACTCACTCACTCAACCACTCACTCACTCACTCAACCACTCACTCACTCACTCAATCAACCACTCACTCACCCACTCACTCAACCACTCATTCACTCAACGACCCACTCACTCACTCAACCATCCACTCACTCACTCACTCAACCACTCACTCACTCAACCACTCACTCACTCAACCACCCACTCACTCACTCAACCACTCACTCACTCAACCACCCACTCACCCACTCAACCACCTACCCACCCACTCCCCTTTGTCTCTCTCGCCGTCCGTGTTTGTGGTGGAGTGCACAGGTTGACTCCGTGAGTGGCAAAACCTTCCCCACGGTGAACCCGGCCACGGGGGAGATCCTGGCTCATGTCAGCCTGGCAGAGGCGGCCGACGTGGACAAAGCCGTCAGGCAAGCCGGGGGGGCTGGGGAGAGGAACTAGGCCGCATTGTCTTTGGGTGTCTCTGCAGTGTCTCTCTCCACATCTCTCTCTCCACATCTCTCGCTCTCTCTCTGTCTCTCTCTGTCTCTCTGTGTCTCTCTGTCTGTCTCTGTCTCTCTCTCTGTCTCTCTCTGTCTCTCTCTGTGTCTCTCTCTCTCTCTGTCTCTCTGTGTCTCTCTGTGTCTCTGTCTCTTTCTGTCTCTCCACGTCTCTCTGTGTCTCTCTCTGTGTCTCTCTCTCTGTCTCTCTCTGTCTCTCTCTCTGTCTCTCTCTGTGTCTCTCTGTCTCTCTCTGTCTCTCTCTGTCTCTCTGTGTCTCTCTCTCTGTCTCTCTCTGTCTCTCTCTGTCTCTCTCTCTCTCTGTCTCTCTCTCTGTCTCTCTCTGTCTCTCTCTGTGTCTCTCTGTCTCTCTCTCTGTCTCTCTCTGTCTCTCTGTGTCTCTGTCTCTTTCTGTCTCTCTCTGTCTCTCCCTGTGTCTCTCTGTCTCTCTCTGTCTCTCTGTGTCTCTATCTGTTTCTCTCTGTCTCTTTCTGTCTCTCTCTGTGTCTCTCTGTGTCTCTCTCTGTGTCTCTGTCTCTTTCTGTCTCTCTCTGTGTCTCTCTCTCTGTCTCTCTCTGTGTCTCTGTCTCTTTCTGTCTCTCTCTGTGTCTCTCTCTCTGTCTCTCTCTGTGTCTCTGTCTCTTTCTGTCTCTCTCTGTGTCTCTCTCTCTGTCTCTCTCTGTGTCTCTCTGTCTCTCTCTGTCTCTCTCTGTGTCTTTCTGTCTCTCTCTGTCTCTCTGTGTCTCTCTGTCTCTCTCTGTCTCTCTGTGTCTCTATCTGTTTCTCTCTGTCTCTTTCTGTCTCTCTCTGTGTCTCTCTGTGTCTCTGTCTCTTTCTGTCTCTCTCTGTGTCTTTCTCTCTGTCTCTCTCTGTGTCTCTCTGTCTCTCTCTGTCTCTCTCTGTGTCTCTCTGTCTCTCTCTGTCTCTCTCTGTGTCTCTCTCTCTGTCTCTCTCTCTGTCTCTCTCTGTCTCTTTCTGTCTCTCTCTGTCTCTCTCTGTGTCTCTCTGTCTCTCTCTTTCTCTCTGTCTCTCTCTGTCTCTCTCTCTGTCTCTCTCTGTCTCTCTCTGTCTCTCTGTCTCTCTCTGTCTCTCTTGATGTCTCTCTGTGTCTCTCCACATCTCTCTCCCCACGTCTCTCTCACCATCTCTGTCTCTCCGTCTCTCCCCACGTCTCTCTCACCATCTCTGTCTCTCTCTCTCCCCACGTCTCTCTCCCCATCTCTCTCTCTGTCTCTCCCCACATCTCTCTCACCATCTCTGTCTCTCTCTCTCCCCACGTCTCTCTCACCATGTCTCTGTCTCTCTCCCCACGTCTCTCTCACCATGTATCTGTCTCTTTCCCCACGTCTCTCTCACACCATCTCTGTCTCTCTCCCCACGTCTCTCTCACCATCTCTGTCTCTCTCATTCCCCATCTCTCTCTCCCCACGTCTCTCTCACACCGTCTCTCTCTCCATCTCTCTCCCCACGTCTCTCTCTCTCTCTCTGTCTCTCTCACCATCTCCCTCTCTCCATCTCTCTCCCCACGTCTCTCTCACCATGTCTCTGTCTCTCTCCCCACGTCTCTCTCACCATCTCCCTCTCACCATCTCACCATCTCTCTCCCCACGTCTCTCTCACCATGTCTCTGTCTCTCTCCCCACGTCTCTCTCACCATGTCTCTGTCTCTCTCCCCGCTTCTCTCTCACCATCTCTGTCTCTCTCTCACTCCCCATCTCTCTCTCCCCACGTCTCTCTCTCACCATCTCTCTCTCTCTCTCTCTGTCTCTCTCACCATCTCCCTCTCACCATCTCTCTCCCCACGTCTCTCTCACCATCTCTCTCTGTGTCTCTCTCCCCACGTCTCTCTCACCGTCTCTCTCTGTCTCTCTCCCCACGTCTCTCTCTCCCCACGTCGCTCTCTCCATCTCCCGCTCTCTGTCTCTCTCCCCACGTCTCTCTCACCATTTCACCATCTCTCTCCGTCTCTCTCCCCACGTCTCTCTCTCCCCACGTCTCTCTCTCACCATCTCTGTCTCTCTCTCTCCCCACGTCTCTCTCTCACCATCTCTGTCTCTCTCTCTCCCCACGTCTCTCTCACCATCTCTCTCTCTCTCTCCCCACGTCTCTCTCTCACCATCTCTCTCTCTGTCTCTCTCACCATCTCTCTCCCCACGTCTCTCTCACCATCTCTCTCCATCTCTCTCCCCACGTCTCTCTCTCACCATCTCTCTCTCTGTCTCTCTCACCATCTCCCTCTCACCATCTCTCTCCCCACGTCTACTCTCACACCATCTCTCTCCATCTCTCTCCCCACGTCTCTCTCTCTCTCTGTCTCTCTCACCATCTCCCTCTCTCCATCTCTCTCCCCACGTCTCTCTCACCATGTCTCTGTCTCTCTCCCCACGTCTCTCTCACACCATCTCCCTCTCACCATCTCTCTCCCCACGTCTCTCTCACCATGTCTCTGTCTCTCTCCCCACGTCTCTCTCACCATGTCTCTGTCTCTCTCCCCACGTCTCTCTCTCACCATCTCTCTCTCTGTCTCTCTCTCCATCTCTCTCCCCACGTCTCTCTCTCACCATCTCTCTCTCTGTCTCTCTCACCATCTCCCTCTCACCATCTCTCTCCCCACGTGTCTCTCACACCATCTCTCTCCATCTCTCTCCCCACGTCTCTCACACCATCTCTCTCTCTGTCTCTCTCCCCACGTCTCTCTCACCATCTCTGTCTCTCTCTCACACCATCTCTCTCCATCTCTCTCCCCACGTCTCTCTCACCATCTCTCTCTCTGTCTCTCACACCATCTCTCTCACCATCTCTCTCCCCACGTCTCTCACACCATCTCTCTCCATCTCTCTCCCCACGTCTCTCTCACCGTCTCTCTCTGTCTCTCTCCCCACGTCTCTCTCTCCCCACGTCGCTCTCTCCATCTCCCGCTCTCTGTCTCTCTCCCCACGTCCTCTCTCACCATTTCACCATCTCTCTCCGTCTCTCTCCCCACGTCTCTCTCTCCCCACGTCTCTCTCACCATCTCTCACCATCTCTCTCCCCACGTCTCTCTCACCATCTCTCTCTCTGTCTCTCACACCATCTCTCTCCATCTCTCTCCCCACGTCTTCTCTCACACCATCTCTCACCATCTCTCTCCCCACGTCTCTCTCACACCATCTCTCTCTCCATCTCTCTCCCCACGTCTCTCTCACCATCTCTCTCCCCACGTCTACTCTCACACCATCTCTCTCTCCATCTCTCTCCCCACGTCTCTCTCACCATCTCTCTCTCTGTCTCTCTCACCATCTCCCTCTCACCATCTCTCTCCCCACGTCTCTCTCACCATCTCTCTCTCTGTCTCTCTCACCATCTCCCTCTCACCATCTCTCTCCCCACGTCTCTCTCACCATCTCTCTCTCTGTCTCTCTCACCATCTCCCTCTCACCATCTCTCTCTCCCCACGTCTACTCTCACACCATCTCTCTCTCCGTCTCTCTCCCCACGTCTCTCTCTCTCTCTGTCTCTCTCACCATCTCCCTCTCTCCATCTCTCTCCCCACGTCTCTCTCACCATGTCTCTGTCTCTCTCCCCACGTCTCTCTCACCATCTCCCTCTCACCATCTCTCTCCCCACGTCTCTCTCACCATCTCTCTCTCTGTCTCTCTCACCATCTCCCTCTCACCATCTCTCTCTCCCCACGTCTCTCTCTCACCATCTCTCTCTCTGTCTCTCTCACCATCTCTCTCTCTGTCTCTCTCACCATCTCCCTCTCACCATCTCTCTCTCCCCACGTCTACTCTCACACCATCTCTCACCATCTCTCTCTCCCCACGTCTCTCTCACCATCTCTCTCTCTGTCTCTCTCCCCACGTCTCTCTCTCTCCCCACGTCTCTCTCACACCATCTCTCTCCATCTCTCTCCCCACGTCTCTCTCACACCATCTCTCTCCCCACGTCTCTCTCCCCACGTCTCTCTCACCATCTCTCTCCCCACGTCTCTCTCTCTCCCCACGTCTCTCTCACACCATCTCTCTCCATCTCTCTCCCCACGTCTCTCACACCATCTCTCTCCATCTCTCTCCCCACGTCTCTCTCACCGTCTCTCTCTGTCTCTCTCCCCACGTCTCTCTCTCCCCACGTCGCTCTCTCCATCTCCCGCTCTCTGTCTCTCTCCCCACGTCTCTCTCACCATTTCACCATCTCTCTCCGTCTCTCTCCCCACGTCTCTCTCTCTCCCCACGTCTCTCTCACACCATCTCTCACCATCTCTCTCCCCACGTCTCTCTCACCATGTCTCTGTCTCTCTCCCCACGTCTCTCTCTCACCATCTCTCTCTCTGTCTCTCTCTCCATCTCTCTCCCCACGTCTCTCTCTCACCATCTCTCTCTCTGTCTCTCTCACCATCTCCCTCTCACCATCTCTCTCCCCACGTGTCTCTCACACCATCTCTCTCCATCTCTCTCCCCACGTCTCTCACACCATCTCTCTCTCTGTCTCTCTCCCCACGTCTCTCTCACCATCTCTGTCTCTCTCTCACACCATCTCTCTCCATCTCTCTCCCCACGTCTCTCTCACCATCTCTCTCTCTGTCTCTCACACCCTCTCTCTCACCATCTCTCTCCCCACGTCTCTCACACCATCTCTCTCCCTCTCTCTCCCACGTCTCTCTCACCGTCTCTCTCTGTCTCTCTCCCCACGTCTCTCTCTCCCCACGTCGCTCTCTCCATCTCCCGCTCTCTGTCTCTCTCCCCACGTCTCTCTCACCATTTCACCATCTCTCTCCGTCTCTCTCCCCACGTCTCTCTCTCCCCACGTCTCTCTCACCATCTCTCACCATCTCTCTCCCCACGTCTCTCTCACCATCTCTCTCTCTGTCTCTCACACCATCTCTCTCCATCTCTCTCCCCACGTCTACTCTCACACCATCTCTCACCATCTCTCTCCCCACGTCTCTCTCA